ACCTCTTTGCGGAAAACATAAGCCTAACTTAAAGACTCTTAAAATTACTTAATCTGTCATAAAGATGAGTTAGGTCTCCTCGCAAAGTTATAAATGATTTGTAAAGTAGTATCACTCACGATCGTCTATTTCACCTTTTCCTCTCCTCTTTAATCAACTTCTTAAATCCATAATAGCAAAGTTGGCAATGGTCATTCTCTTTTGGAAACTAAATATCTTTCCCGTTTAATAACTGGTCTGATAACCTGTAATCATTTGTAACCGTGGCAGGAATAAATGCCATCTAGACCATCAGCTGGGCAGATATCAACAAATACTTCCATCAACTAGAACGAAACGAAGACGTAAGCCTTAATGTAATTGTACACTGCCAATCGTATTTGCAGGAATTTTGGATTGTTTATTATGCTGTCACTCGTTATCACCAAATATTTGATTGCTTTAATGATAATGTAAGTTAAATTGCTTGTTGTTATCATATCATTCATTCTGTTCACATGCCTGTTAATGTATTCTTTCATTTTCAGTGCAGTATTATCAGTTACTGAAACGGATGCACAAGCAGTAGCTTTAAATCCTATTACCTTCACGAACAACATGCAAGTAGGCGGCAACGTAAGTTTCGTGCCTCTTATTAGTTTCAAACATCAAAGTTTCACATATTATATTAACATATTAAGCATCAGTGTTCATTTAAGCATCAACATTCCTAGTAAGAGTTTGTTTTAAATTTTAGAGAGTGCTTTTCAATGGCAACGCAGCACAGATGGTCTTTGATGATGGAAGTGATCAGAATAGAAATCAACCTGCCCAACCTGCCCAACCTGCCCAACCTTCTCAAACTTCTTCTAGTTCAGATTTACTTGGAACTTTTTTACTAGCTTCATTACTGGGCTCAGCTTATGGTAGAGGCTTCCCAAATTCTTCTCCATATGGTTATTCTTATCCATACTCCGGTTACTCTCCTTATTACTACGGTTACCTTCCCTATTACTACTATTATTATGGATAATTTTTCACTTTCTTCAAATACCTTTGTATCATTGTGCAGACTTTAAACTTTAAAAATTATACAAAGCTTTGTCTGGCGTTGTGTTCTACATGAAGCTATTAAATAGAATCAATGTTAAAAATATATGAAAAACCTACGGAGCACAAGTTGTCAAAGTCATCCACGGTTTTGTCATAATTTGTAGTACCTATAGTGATCGATAACTCATGGATTGAAAGGAATAAATGAATAGAGTAGTGATTAACTAATTTCGATACCAATTACTCGTTGAATTATTGAAATGTTGTACTGAATAGGGAATTAAATAACAACAAGTTTCTTGAAGTATAATAATTCTAAACTCGCATCTTCAAAATTCCTTAAAACTTTTTACCAAAAAGGCTAAACGTGCAGGACAGTACGTGTTAAAAATAGAATAAATCTTTGGAACAATATGCGAATGATATACAGATCGGTTCTTGTTTTTTATTTCCTTTATACAGTCAAATATGATTTGTTGATGTTTATCATTCCAAAATCCCATTTTCTTTAATTCAAATTAATTTAATAAATTTTCTTATGTATTAACTCTGTAACTTTGTCAAATCCATTTTCCAAAGCTCCGCTAATTCTTCTCAATTTTATTTCCTTCCCGAGAAATCCCGTCTCTAGGTTAATTGTTTCTTACCATCTGGTCAGTATTTCCAGTTTTGCATTGATTCTTTCAATTTCGAATTTACTGAGTATTCCTCCTTGAAATTCGACAATTCCCGGATCAAGTTTTTTAGGTTGACACCCGAGCGATTTGTATCTTTCCTTCGAATCCCTTTCCAATTACATCATCTCTTTGTAATATAAATTTTATAGTTAAAGATTAGATTACTACTGACAACCAGTCGATCAATAATAGTAGATTATTTCGGTTTTGGTACTATGTTGAGTTGTTGTTTGAATTTTCGTTGTAGATTATCAAAAATATGCTAGAATTTCACAATTCCTGAGTCGGCTCTTTCCTTAGGATTCAATTCGACTACCTGACTTTAAGTAATTTTTTGACTACGAATTTTTATCGATTCTCCGACGATTTTCATATCAATTATAATAATATTGTCATCATCGAATATAATTTAGCAAATTCATGATTTGTTATCGTAATTGTTTCATTTTCTCTGTTAAAAATAAGTGAGCTTATTTATAATAGTATGATTTGCATATATCTGAGTATCAAAAATCCCAATCATTCTATGTAAGCATCTTTGGTTGCTTCCTTCTCATAGCATGGAACAATATTTATATTAGTTATGCATTTTCCTCGTTGTGTAATGCAGTACTCGGTACTATCTAGATCTGATACTGATCTTCTTCCACCAATAATATTTCTCTCTGCAGTTGTAGATTGACATTTGACGTCTAACCATCCATAGGAATATTGTACGTTACTGTTTTCATCCGTTTATTTCAACATATTGTAGATTTTCTCGGGTTTTCCAACACTCCCGATGAAAGGAAATTATATTTCTGGAGGAGGAATTTGGGGATTGTTGTCTTGTGGCACTTCTAATTTCACAAGACAACAATAGAAATCTATAGAATTTTTCGGTTTTCGGAAATCTACAGAATCTTTCGATTTTTCGATCTTCTGATAGTTTGAATTCCTGTATTTTCTTCCTCATTGATATCAAAAGGATTTTCTTCATCATTAACTCCGAAAGGGTGCAACAGATTTATTGGTCGATTCAAAAGTTTCCTATAACGTGTCTCTGTCTGAGCGTTTCCTACCTCGCCGTCTTTTCCAGTACTAAATACTTAGTTTTTGGTACTTTCCATATACCGGGTGGAACTCCTAATTTAATAGCTGTAGTACAATTTCTCCTTCACGCCAATAAG